GAAAAACAGAAATACAGATCAATGGAACAGGACTGAAAGCCCAGGAGTAAACCCACGCACCTATCGTCAATTAATCTACGACAAAGGAGGCAAGAATATACGGTGGAGAAAAAACAATCTCTTCAATAAGTGGTGCTGGGAAAATTGGACAGCTACATGTAAAAGAATGAAATTAGAATATTCTCTAACACCATACACAAACCTAAATGTAAGGCCAGATACTATAAAACTGTTAGAAGAAAACATAGGCAGAATACTCTTTGACATAAACTGCAGCAATATCTGGGATTTCCCTGGTGGTGCAGTGGATAAGACTCCACGCTCCCAATGCAGGGGGCCTGGGTTCGATCTCTGGTCCGGGAACTAGATCCTACATGCATGCCACAACTAAGAGTTCGCATGCCACAACTGGGGAGCCGGAGAGCCGCAACTAAGGAGCCCACGTGCTGCAACTAAGGAGCCAGCAAGCCACAACTAAGGAATCCACCTGCCGCAACTAAGACCCAGCGCAACCAAATAAATAAACATTTTTAAAAATAATAATAATAAATTGCAGCCATATCTTTTTGGATCCACCTCCTAGAGTAACGAAAATAAAAACAAAAATAAACAAATGAGACCTAATTAAACTTCAAAGCTTATGCACAGCAAAGGAAACCATAAACAAAACAAAAAGAGAACCCACAGAATGGGAGAAAATACTTGCAAATGAAGCAACCGACAACAGATTAATCTCCAAAATATACAAACATCTTATGCAGCTCTATACCACAAAAACAAACAACCCAATCAAAAAAATGGACAGAAGGGGCTTCCCTGGTGGCGCAGTGGTTGAGAGTCCACCTGCCGATGCAGGGGACGCGGGTTCGTGCCCCAGTATGGGAAGATCCCACATGCCGCGGAGCGGCTGGGCCCGTGAGCCATGGCCGCTGAGCCTGTGCGTCCGGAGCCTGTGCTCCGCAACGGGAGAGGCCACAACAGTGAGAGGCCCGCGTACCGCAAAAAACAAAACAAAACAAAAAAAAAGGACAGAAGATCTCAACAGACATTTCTCCCAAGAAGACATACAGGTGGCCAAAAAGCACATGAAAAGATGCTCAACATCACTAATTATTAGAGAACTGCATATCAAAACTACAATGAGGTATCACCTCACATTGGTCAGAATGGCCATCATCAAAAAGTCTACGAACGACAAATGCTGGAGAGGATGTGGAGAAAAGGGAACTCTCTTGCCCTGTTGGTGGGAATGTAAATTGGTACAACCACTATGGAGAACAGTATGGAGGTTCCTTAAAAAACTAAAAATATAACTACCATAGGACCCAGCAATCCCACTTCTGGGCGTGTATCCAGAGAAAACCATAGTTCAAAATGATACATGAACCCTAATATTCATTGCAGCACTATTTACAATAGCAAAGACATGGAAGCAACTTAGATGTCCATCAACAGAAAAATGGATAAATAAGATGTGGTACATATATACAATGGGATATTTTCTCAGCCATAAAAAAAGGAATGAAATAATGCCATTTGCAGCAACATGGATGGACCTAGAGATTATCACACTAAGTGAAGTCAGACAGAGAAAAAGACAAATATCTTATGACATCACTTATATGTGGACTCTTGAAAAAAAATGATACAAATGAACTTATTTACAAAACAGAAACAGACTCACAGACTTCAAAAACAAACTTACCGTTACCAAAGCGGGGGGGCTGCAGGAGGGATAAATTAGAAGTTTGGGATTAACAAACACACACAAGTATATATAAAATAGATAATCAACAAAGACCTACTGTACAGCACAGGGAACTCTACTCAATACTCTGTAATAACCTATATGGGAAAAGCATCTGAAAAAGAATGGATATATGTATATGTATAAATGAGTCACTTTGCTGTATACCTGAAACTAGCAAAACATTGTAAATCGATGATAATATAAAATTTAAAAAATTTTTGAATTTGTTTAATTAAAAAAGTTAATAAATAAAAGAATTGGCAACAAGTCCTAGAGAAAAATCAAGCATTTATACTCACTCTAAATATAAATACTTTGAGGAAGGAAAGTCAAAGACTGGAAATTCACTAAGCTTGGTCACTGTCTGCACTGGTTCTGCAGAGGGCAGCGTATACCCACCACCCAAGGGTGCTGGTGCAGGAGAAGTAGGGGTGAGGAGGAGCAGAACTAAGGAATTCTAGAATCAGTGTTTCAGTGTTTCTAGGGTAGGAGGCAAAAATAAAGCTCCTGGCTACTATAACGTGGGTCCCTTTCTCAATCCAAATAAGAGAACATCTGTTAATTTAAAATAAAGCCAAAAACAAATAGACCAATGAAACAGCATAGAATCAAAATTAAACCCCACAAATATACAGTTATACCTAATTTGTGACTAAGGTCATAAATGGTGCTGAAGCAATTGGACATCCATGTGAAAAAAATATATACGAATCCTACTTTACAACATACACAAAAAATAAATTCCAGATGAACTGTAGGTTTAAATGAGAGGAGTAAATCAATAAACCATTTAGAGAAAAGCACAAGAGGACATCTTCCTTACCTTGGAGTAAGCAAAAATTTCTTAAACAGGACATAAAACATACCGATCATAAAAAAAAATTCTAATAAAGTGAACTATATTAAAATTAAGAATTTCTGCTCATTAGAAGATATCATTAAGCAAGTGAAAAAGCATCCCCAGAATGAAAAAAAGATTTACTATATATATACACACACACACGTTTGCACATGTATACACATATATATACATATACATGACCAAAGTATCATATCCAGAAAACATAAACAACTCTCGCAAATCAATATTAAAAAGATAAACAAGGGACTTCCCCGGCGGTCCAGTGGTAAAGAATCTGCCTTCCAATGTAGAAGACGCGGATTCGATCCCTGGTGGGGGAACTAGGATCCCACATGCCGCGGGGCAACTAAGCCCGCGCCACAACTACTGAGCTCGCGTGGCGCAAACTACAGAGCCCACGCGCTCTGGAGCCCGTGCGCCACAACTAGAGAGAAGCCCGCGCGCCGCAACGAAAGACCCCGCGTGCGGCAACTACGACCCCGACGCAGCCAAAAAAAATAAGGAAAATAAATAAATTAAATAAATAAATTTGTTTTTAAAATAAGCAATTAAAAAAAAGAAAGGCTGTTACTTAGTTTTAAAAAATAAATAAATAAGTTTAAAAGTGGGAAAAAGACCTGAAGACTCTTCACAAAAGAAGATTTCCAAATGGCCAATACACATATGAAAAGGTGCTGAAATTCATTATTATCAGGAAAATGCAAATAAAGTCTTTTGTGCAACAAATACATGACACTTACCAGAATGGCTAAAAATTTTTTAAAAAAGAAAAAAAAAACCCAGAAAATACTAAGTGTCCTACAGATGGGAAGCAAATCACGCCTCTCCTACAGCGCTGGTGGGAGTGTAAATTGGTACAACCCACTTTGGCAAACTGTTTAAAAGTATCTACTAAAGATGAACAAACCCACAACCTATAACCTAGAGGTTCCATCCTTAGGTATGGACCTAACAAATGCGTCCACATGTTCACCAGAAGACATGTACAAGAATACTCGTAACCACAACCCGAAAATTACTGAAGTGCCCACCAACAGTGAAATAAACATAAATTGTGCTATAGTCACACAACTACAGCATTCGGGGTGAACTGCAACTACGTACAACAGAGAGGAATTTCACAAACGCTGTTGAGTGAAGGAAATCGGACACAAAAGAGGGCATACTGTAAGGCTCCACTTACATAAAAGTTCAAAACTAAGCTAATCTACTAAAGCCAGGACAGTGATTACTCTTGGTGGAGAGGAGAGCAACTGGACGGGGGGGAAAAGGGATGGGCCTCTGAGATGCTAATACTAATTGTGTTTCACAGTCTGTGTTCAGAATTACACAGGTGTGTTTAAAGTGCTTCGAGCTGGACATGTATGATGATGTACTTCTCTGTTTATTTTAGCTTCAATTTAAAACTTTAAACTAATACGCCGTAGCAGAATCCACCAGTTCAGAATTTATACCTCTTTATTCCAAGATATGACTTGGCAAAGTGATTCTCAATTTTCTAGAACAAAAACTACACAAACCAGGCAATTCTCAAAAACCAAGAGACTGACTGAATTTGAGAGAAGTTAGTTAGAAGAGGGGAGGGATAAACACAAATGCACAACATGTATATATTTTACATTGCTATGAAAACATAAACAAACACAACCACAACGTGTTCTAGTGCTCCAGGAAAAGGTAAAAACATCAACGTAGACTCCTACGGCCGAGCCTGCTGCCCGACCCCTGCCAGCAGCACAGAAGAAACAAGGGACCAAGAAAGGATGACTTCCTTCAGAAGCTGTTTCCAGGGCACAGAGGACTTCTGCCCAGGCCCTCAATCCCACCCATCGCCGGCCTTCACACCCAAACGCAAGGTTTCGGGCTCAGCCCAAGAAGGGAGGAGGGCGACGGGTGAGGGGCGGAAAGGTGGGCGCTAACCCGGCGAGGTGACTAGTCGGGCTGCGAGAGCGAGCCCGGCCACACCCCGGCGCCTGCGCGGGGCCACCCAGGTCCCGCCAGACACCCGCCCGCACACCTGTCTACCGTGCCAGGCCAGGGACGTGCCAGGCAACGGTGCGCGGGCCGCGGGACTGTCGTCCACCGCCTGGAGGGCCGACGCCGCTAACCCGGCCCGGGAAGAGCCCTGGGGAAGGAGGGCGCAGGCGGCCCCGAAGCACTCCCGGGGGCCGGACAGGTGACTCGACGGGACCGCGCCCAGGACTGAGAGCAGGTGGGCGCAGAGCGGGGAGCGGAGCCTGGGGGAGGGGCGCGGCGCGAGGCGGAGGGGCGAGGGCGGGGGCGGGGAAGCGGTACAGGGGAGACCACGAGGGCCGCGACGGGGAAGGGAAGGGGATGGGAGGGACAGGCGGGCGGCAGGCTGGGAGGGGGCGGGCGGAGGGCGCTCACCGTGGACTCTCGCACTTGGCTGTGGAAGTGCTGCTCCCGCGCCGACACCTCGTCCTGCCCTTCCATCCTCCTTCATACCCGCCGCCACGCCGCCCGCGTCCGCGCACTCCACCGCACCATCGCCTGCCGGCCCGAGGGGCTGGACGGCCGCCCCGCCGGCCGGGACGGGAGCAGCCTGCCGCTGCACAGACCGCGACCAAAACACCGGGCGCTGCCTCAACCGCCGCCTCAGAAGAAGCCGCTCGGGCTGCTGAGGGCGGGCGCCGCGCGAGCCGGGGCGGGGAGGGGGCGGGTCTTGACGTCAAAGGAAGGCGCCGCGCGTCAGAGGAGCGCGCCGCGACTCCTGAGGGGCCTGAGGCTGAGGGGCGGGGCCTGCCGGGCGGGGCTCGGGGGGCCGCGCCCCCGGGGAGCGGAGGCCAGCGGGCGCAGGCGAAATTCCGCAGGGAGCACGGTGAGGAAGGAGCTGGCGGTTGGGGTCGGGTCTCCGGGCGCGTACTCCCCCCGCCGGTGAGGGTGAACTAACGGAGGTGGGCGGGCCGGCGCGCCGGGTTAGCAGGCGTTTATCCTGTATGGCCGCAGCAGTCAGCGCCCTTCACCAGCCCGAGCCCCGCGGGCAGAGCCCTCGGCGGCATCCAGCAGGAGGCCTCCCGCGGGAGCTGTCACTCCGCCAAAGTAAGTAAAAGGTCGGAAACTGGTTGTTTCTGGACGCGCTTTGGGCGGAAACCCCGGAAACCTGGCTTCTCTGGGTCTGATAAGCGGTTGGGCCGCCGCTGGTCTTGTGCTTCCCCACCTGGAAAACGTAGATAGCCCTGAACGTGAGGCCCTTGCCAGATCCGCGGGCGGCCCAGTACTGGGGAGTTTACATGACCCTCCTGAGAGCCTCCATGGTCCGTTACTTTGGGGACGGCCAAACATGCCACATACGGTACGTAAGTCCCCTACCTACACATGAGTTACGTTGGAGAGCGTTAGCAAATCTAATTTGTTCGTTAAGTCCAAGAAGTTAGCCTAGGTAGCAACTAACACAATTGGCTCTTTACCGCTGCTGTTACGCTTGCTTCCGGACATCCTGGGCTTGAAATAAAGGTACTGTAGTACTGTACTCCATACAGTACTGTACAGTAGAGTACACAAAAGCACAACCACTTGTAGAGGATGCACGCACGTGACAATGTACGCCAGACACGTGAACTACCTTACCTGATTGGACGTTTCAACACACGTTCATATCTTTGAAAGTTCGCAACTTGAAGGTTCATATGTACGGGACTTATTGTAATTCACCCCTATTCTGCATTAAGTACTTTTTTGTTGTTGTTTGCAATAAAAATGAATCTGAAGAAATATTTATCATTTTACTTTTGGATTTTGGGCGTATAAGTCACTTAAATTGCTATTAGCTGTGATGTTTGGCATCTCTGAGAATTCTTAGGAAGGGAGAAAATCTACAAATTGCTTTCAAATTATTTTTATGATATATGTTACTTTAGATTTTGAAGTGTCTTTTTGTGATTTTGAATTAAAACTTTTTTCACGACTCCAACTTTTTTTTTTTATGGCCCCTGAAAAGCTTGTAGGCCTCCACATACTGTGCCTATAATGCCTTATGCCAGAAAATGGCGGTGGGGACTTGGAGAACATGAGGCTTGTTCTGAGCCAGTACTGCTGCTGCCATAGGCTGATAAGAATACAGGAATAATTTTCACCTGGTTACATTCAGTGTTCATCGCTATATTTTTGAAGTCTCTGAACCCTAAAGAACCTGGGAAAGATAAAGAAGTATCTGTTTTTCTGAACACCCAGCTTCTGAGAGCTGGGTTAAATACCTGCGTGAAGTGACCTGGATAATTTCTGGGGTAATCTCTCCAAATCAGAGGGTAATGAGATCTGATTTTAAGATGTGACATTTAGACACATACTCCAGAAAGTCAATAAATATGGCATTTCTGATCTTTCTAACCCAACGCTCCAGCCATCTAGACCTTTTTATTTTCTTTTATGCAGCTGTCTGTAAAGGTTCACTCACCTTTGATCTTAGTTGTTTCCCTGTGTTTGGTACTTACAACACTTAGCCCGGGGTAGTAGACCTCAAAAATGCCCACAAGCTCTTCCCTGTACACTCACCCCTTTGCCTTGTGGCTTTGCCTCTCCTCCCAGCAAGGAGTGGAGCCTATTTTCCACCCTTGAATCTGGGCCTGGGCATGTGACTTGCTTTGGCCAAAGGGACATTAGAAAATACGAAGCTGTTGAGAAGTGCTTGTGCGTTAGGGCTTGCCCCTTCTCACGACCCTTGGGCACCCTCCAACTGCCATTGTGTAAAATCGTCCCACCCAAGCTGGTAAGGGGTGTCCCAGTTATCTCTGTCACCCCAGCTGACACCCTCTTTTCTGCATCCCCCTAAAACGTGAATTCCCCCAAAACACAGTTCTTCCCCTCTGCTGAAAGCACTGCAATGCAGTATTCTCATTACCTGTAGAAAAAATTAGACTCCCGAACTGGCATTCAAGACCTTGACTTTGGGGCCCCACCCTGCCCTTCCAACTGTTCCCACTCCTCTCTCTAAAGAACCCTTTCCTGCAGGCTGGCTTCCTCCTCTCTCCAATCCCCTGGGCCTTCCCATTGCCAAGGCCCAGAACTTTTGCCCATTCCATACCCTGTTTCCTCCTCTTCAGATTCCGTGCTACCACTCTTTACTGTCCACACCAAGACCTTCGTTCTCCAAAAAGTCTTTCCTGGCAATTCCAGTCTCTTCATTCACTCATTCATTCAAAACCATGAACACACCATGGAAAGAATACTGCTTCAGTCCCCGCTCTGGGGGCGCTTACAGGAGGAAAACAGAGAATGTACAGCCATCCACCTGACACCTGGCACACACGACCTTATGTTTTACCTCAGCGTTTCATGTGTGTGTGTCTATCCACAGTCAGAGTACAAGCTCTTTAAGGTCTGGAGTATCTCTTCCTGCATCATGTAAACTTCCATGTATTTCCTGCAATACCTATTAGAATGCTTTGCCCAAAGGAGACAGTTTACGAGTATTTATTGGTCGATAGATTGGTTGCCCTGAGAAATTCCCCAAAAACTTCTTCAAACTTCAGTAAGTCTTCAGATTTCTATACCAAGGTAGATAATTGTATGGACATTGCCCGTGTGGGCAACATTACGACTTATGTGCCCACAAATGAGAATGCTGCTTGTTACTAAGTACTCCAGTTTCATTATCACAACGTGTCTTTGAACCTGCCAAAATTCAGGATGGTTTCCTTCATTCCACTGGGCCTTGCTTTGATTCTCTTGATTACAATGAGATCAAAGTTTTGAGACATAAGGACGTAGAGACCAATTTTTTTCTTGTCTTTATGCCCCATACAAAACCAAGCCAAGCAATGTTCAGATGTAAGCTGAATTCCTTCCAGCCTCTATTAAAGGGCTTCTTTTTTTCCTTTATCCAAATACTCACAGCAAGAGAGATAAACAAGCAAAAGTCTAGAAACAAGCCAGCTGTCCATCTACAGTGGAAAGCATAAACAAATTGTGATGTGTTCACGTACTGAAATTTTACCCTGGCGTGAAAAATCCACGAGCCACAGCTGCAAGCAACAATATGGGTGAGTCTGTGCAACAGCACTGAGCAAAAAAAAAAAAGGTCACAGAAGAATACATACAAGTATGATTCCACTTACATAAAGTTCAAAGCCATGCAGAACTAAACAGGATATTACTTAGGAATTCAAACGTGTGGTAGAATTATAAAGAAGGGCAGTGATAAACCTCTAAGAAGGAAGGTCAGAGGAGAGATTGGGCAGAGGCATTCAGAGGGCTGCAAAAGGAATGATAACACTCGTTTCTTACACGTGCGGGGTGGGGACAGGGGTCACAGCGCCTTGTTGCATTGTTGTTTATGCATCGTATATGTTGCGTAAACTATGTCTATTCACTATTTAAATAAAGGAATTGTTTTAAGAGGCACCACTGTCTGGTAGCCTAAACTGTGGGTTCTCTGCCTCAGCTTGACCCCTTGCTAAAGGGAGCATCTTAGAGTGGAGTCAACGCCAAGCAAGGATTCTGGAAACCAGGTTCCAGCTCTGCCAGGTGGGGCCTTTTGGGCCTCGCTTCAGTTACTGATGCCTAAGGTCCTTTCAAAACTCTGTTTATGGTTTTAAAAGTTAATTTGGAAACTTTCCACACAACCCTGTGTTTCGGCTGGAGTTTTCATGGGTCAGAGGAAGAAGAGAACGGGCGTCGGATGCTTAGCTCCAAACCCGAGTGTCATCCTGAATTGCACGCCGCCCCTCACGCCCCAAAGCACACCCATCACCAAGAATTGTCGCCTCTCCCACCAAAGCACATCTCAGGTCAGCCACTTCTCACAGCCCCACTGCTACCTCCTGGCCAGAGCCACCCTCAAGTGGCCTGAGCCATCTCCCCACATCCCCTCTTCCCAGCCCCTCGTCTGCCCCCCACCAGTCCAGCCCAAGGGATAAGCACGGAAGTCAGACTTCTCCCTCCCTCCCCCCCGCCCACCCCGCAGCTTCCCATCTCTCTTAGACTCAAACCCTAACCTGTCATGGAGACCTGCAGGGACCCCGGACCCTGCCCTGCCCACCTCCTCAGCCTCCTACCGCGGCCCCACTGCCTGTGCCCTTTTGTCCGCTCAGCCCAGAATGCGCTTCCCCTGGGTCACAACTGCCCCCTTGTCACTTACACCGCAGCATGAATGTTATCAACGCGGAGAGGCATTGGAGACCAACCCAGGTGCTTGCTCAGTTCACCTTGTTTTATTTTCCTCAAAACAGGACCACTGAAATTATTTCTGTATGGGTTTGTTTTCTGTCCAGTCTAATTTGTCTGGTTCACTATTTTCAACACCAAGTACAGTGCCTGGCAAGTATTAGGAGCTCAGTAAACCTTTCTTAGATAAAGAACTAAATGTGTGAATGGGGGGGGGTGGGAACTAGCTTTTGTAGAATAACCAGTACATTCCAGGGGTCTCATGCATTATGTAATTTAACCATCACAGTAACTGTGAAGTAGGTATTGTCGGCTCCATTTTGCCATTGATGACACTGAGGAGGGGGTAAGCGACCTCACCTGGTTCACATAGTCCACATTCGAACCCAGATCCACCTGACTTACTAACTCCTGTCCTTTCCACAGTACTATTGCCCCGCAATAAAACCACAACCTGGCTTCATCGTGGGTGACACAGAGGAAAACTCCCAGTCCCTCTGTTGGACATTCTGCCCTAACCACTCACCTCCCCTTCCCCCGAAATTATTCTGCCCTCATTTGTGTGCCTGAGTATGTGCTCAAGCATACCAGTAAGTACAGGCTCCCTCTGCCCCTGGATCTGCAGGAGTGGTGTAGTAGTCAGGGCTCTCCAGAGGAATAGAGCAATAGGGGATACAGAGAGATAGACACGAAAGATAGATAGATAGATAGATAGATAGACAGACAGGCAGACACAATATGGTTTCTAATTCCATTCTCTAATAAAGAGCCAAGGTTCCTTGGGAGGCGGCTGATTCTAGGGCTGGGGCAAGAAATATACAAGATGAGCCTGGAGCATCTCGTAGTGCCAGAAAATAGGAAAGCGATCAAGGGAATTCCCTGGCGGTCCAGTGGTTAGGACTCAGTGCTCTCACTGCCAGGGCCCAGGGTTTGATCCCTGGTCAGGGAACTAACATCCCACAAGTCTCATGGTGCTGCAAAAAAAAAAAAGTGATCAAAAACCAAAACGATGAAGATCTGGGGTATGACAGAGGGACACAGGCGCCAACCTGAAAGAGTTCCCAATGGCCAAAGCAAAAATAATTCGAACATCAAAATAAATAGCAAAGTATTGGGTTAGAATTAAAGTATAAAGTAAATATTCATGAGTCAATACTGATATAAACAAATATTAATTTAGGTAAATTCTCCCCCACAAAAAAGTGGTGCTTACCTCCGCGCCCCTGAGTGTCGCTAGACTTAGTGACCTGCACCCAAAGAACAGACAAGAGAAGGAAGAGTAAAGTAACTGCGGTGGAGAAGCCTGGGGGTCAGTGTGAGCGCCGTCAGAGGCGAGTCACGTTGGCAGCGTGCACCTTTGATGTGGGCTGAGAACAGCCCTTCACCCATGAGGCCTTTCTCCCGAAACGCACACCCTCAGTCCAACCATGAGGAAAATGTCAGACGAACTCACGTTGAGCAGCGTTCTACAAAATACCAGACCAGTACTTGTCAAGGTCACCAAAAACAAGGGACGTTAGGAAAATCATCTCGGGCCGTAGAGGAGGCTAAGGATAATAATTTATCAACATTGGTTCATTGGTTGTGATAAATGTGCCATAAGTAAGAGGAAGACAGCGAGGGGGCCTGGGTACGGGGAACACAGGAACTCTTATTCTCTTTGCAACTTTTCTGTAAATCAAAAATTTAAAGTTTAGTCTTTTTTTTTATAAATTTATTTATTTATTTTTGGCGGAGTTGGGTCTTTGTTGCCGTGCGTGGGCTTTCTCTAGTTGCGGTGAGCAGGGGCTACTCTTCGTTGCAGTGCACGGGCTTCTTATTGCAGAGGCTTCTCTTGTTGCAGCGCACGGGCTCTAGGCGCGCGGGCTTCAGTAGTTGCGGCACACGAGCTCAGAAGTTGTGGGACACGGGCTTAGTTGCTCCGTGGCATGTGGGATCTTCCCGGACCGGGACACGAACCCATGTCCCCTGCATTGGCAGGCGGATTCTTAACCACTGCGCCACCAGGGAAGCCCCTAAAGTTTATTCTTTACAAAGGAAGAGAAAGAATACCAGGTACTTTGCAAAATCTCCAGGAGGACCAGAGAACCAAACTTGAAGGAAAGATGCCCCAGTCAAGAGCTGGTCCCTTGAAGACACCAGTGCGCCATTTCTGGGTGTAGACACACGGCCCACCCACGGCTTATCTGACGCTGGTCACTTCTAAGACTTCTTCTGTCTGGACCCTGGATGTGGCCCATTGGCAGAGCCCGGGTCATGAGCACACACCTGAGCTGCAAAGGAAGTGAGTGCTATTTTCCACTTCTTTCATGGCGTAGACTCCCTGCTTCATAGAATGGGGGATTCCGTTGACGTAGGAAGGGGCTTCGAGTATTGTTCAATCAAAAGGAATTATATGGTCCAAATACAAAGTTCTCTAGTGACCCAGCATAATCCAAGTATAAAATCTACACTCTAAAGAAACAAATGGGCTTTAGAATTTTGGTAAGTGATGACCATCCAGTGATGTGCCGGAGACCCCTGGCACTGGCTTGTGAACGCAAGTTGTTAATTTTTAGGAATTTTGCAAAGCCAGTTGTTAAACACAACACTGTTTAAAACTAAATTACATAAACTTACACTTAATTAAACTATATTTTTTAAAGGTAAAAAGTACTGAAAATCCATCATGTCCTAATTATTTTATTATACTTTCCTTGAGTCTGCTTACGTGTCCTTTACAACGACGTGCTGCTCCTTGCTCAGTGACCTCACATTGGTAGCTGAGGTTGGCCGTGCTGGGAGCATTTCCACCATGGAAATCAGCAAATTCTGCAAATCAGGGCCCTTTCCCTCCCCCTTGTAGAGCTGGTTATTAGATACAGCATACCAGTGGAGCCAGCAAAGATTTTAGAAAGAGCCTAAAATGAAGATTTTCCTTATTATGGGCTGAAGTCAAACAACATATGATCAGAGTTGGCATCGTTTCATGGAAACTGAGCGAGACTCTTGCCTGCTGGAGATCATCCCAAGTGTCTGCAGAGCTGGACCCAGGGGGCTCCTGAAGGGGAAATGGGATTTTTCTCAAGAAAGCAATTCTAAATCTGTGAAAGTAAATCAAAGTTTAGAAACGTCCATTACTCCGCGCTGATGAAACACTGGCAGTTCATATATTTGTTGGTGTTTTAAAGGGGCAGAATAAAGCCATTATTCCCTAGTGCAGGAGGGGTAGCATGCATGGGTCCAGGTTCAGGGAGGGGATAGAGGTGCTGGTCTGTGTCTGTTCATTTCCTGGGGCCACCATAACAGAGTACCCCAGACTGGACAGCTTAAGCAACAGAAATTTATCTTCTCACAATTCTGGAGGCTGGAAGTCTGAGATCAAAGTGTGGACAGGGTCATTGCTCCTGAGGCCTGTCTCCTTGACACGTAGATGGCTGTCTTCTCCCCATGTCCTCATACGGCCATCCCTCTATGTGTGTCTGTGTCCCGATCTCCTCTTCTTATAAGGACACTGGTCACATTGGATCAAGGCCCATCCATACGACCTCATTTAACTTAATCACCTCTTTGAAAACCCATCTCCAAATGCAGTCACATTCTGAAATACTGGGGATTAGGAGTTCAACATGTGAAGTTAGGGGGACACAGCTCTGCACAGGGAGCATGTGAAAGTCTATTCCAATTGCCACTCTTCTCTCAGGGAAATAAACAGCAAGGTCAGCCACCAGAGGGAAGAGTGCGGAGTAATGTTTGAGGTCCTGGGAGAGAAAAGGTGGGGTCGTACAGGAGTGGATGGAGGAGACACATGTGACCTCTAAGCAGCACTAGGTTCCAGTCAAAGCCCAGGCACCAGGCCTCTGCTTCTGACCACCCACGCTGCCCCGTGATCCCTGGC